TCCCCCCCCCCCCCCCCCCCCCCCAAAAAAAAGTAATAATAAAACAATTAGAGCATGGACAACTAATCAAACAATCTGTAATGTAGACGTTCCAGACTTCCCATTCGTAGTCATACGTCAATTTAGTCAAGTCGAATCAACCCACTTACAACCTCTATACTACGAAAAATTATTCAAGGTAGCTTGCAGTTTTGAACCATGGAATGCATGAGACTGCAAAACTATCTCAAATTAGTAAGATTTTTAAATCCACGAGTTATAAGAGACAGCCACATTGTGTCAGCTTCAATAAATAACTTTTTCCTACATTACAGGCTTCAACATACTCTCTAGGACAATCCTTCCTCAAGGCCTCCTGCAGTTTTAAATATTCTAAGTTATCTTAATTTAAGTTTTTTTTTTGTTTTGTTTTGTTTTAGTTTTGATGCAATGACCAAGTATGCCATGTGTCCACCAATGCACCATTCTAAATCAGTTGTGTCTAGCTATAAATATGATGGTACCTGGTAGTTGATACAACACAAGTTCCCTTTCCAGTCTCCGCTCCAATGCACACCTCACTTTTGTCATCACAGTTCTGTGAACAGACAGAGCTAGTATTCTCTTTACGGATGGATGTTCTGTCAGCTAAAAAGTTCCAAGCAAATCTTGAAACATCGTGAACATAACCAGGATAAGGAGTAGAGGATGGTTCATCGAGGATAACACCAACATAATGGTTTGGACAGACATTGGTCGGAGAAATATATCTCTTCACCAACTCACAAGAGAGGCCAGGGTCACAGTTCAGGAGACATCCTATAAGCTCTTCAACCAACGAGGTGTTCAATTTGATAGCATTCAGGGCAGAACTACTCAATTCCTTTTTGTTGGTTGCAAGAATGTAAAGAGTTCGGGCAACAAGTAAAGCAGCTGCTTCAATAGCTGATGAGTTTATATTATCTGGATTGAAAAATAATATGAATAGTAAGAAAAAATAGGACCAGCTATACAACAATCGCCAATGAGCGATAAAATGGGAAAGGAAGGAAAGAAAAGAATGCAACTTACGTAAATCGTCGAGGTGACTCTGGTAAAATTGATTGGTAAAGCTAGTATCAAAGTCTTCTAATACCACCCCAGAGACCTGCGAGTTCTGTACGGACCAAAATAAACTTGTCAGCTTATCTCTCTTGGTGTACACGGTCTAATATCTTTACTTCATATAGCTATGCTTCCCTTTCAACCAATTGGAGAAGTGTTACGTAATCATCATGGATTATTATCCTTTTTATAAATTTTATACATCAATGAAATTGTTTCGCAAAACTCTAGTCTCAAACCTTGAATTGTGTGCCATTCGTTTCTTATTTTAATTTTTTTTTTCAATAAAAAAATCAGCAGGTTTGAACAATAGAGAGCAAGAAAATAGTAGCATCAAGTATGTTGTTGAAAAATACCTTGGCTAGAAATGCCATCAACGAAGATGGTGGTATCCCTGGATTTGTAGTACTAGCTGGTGAGACTTTTATGTTCTCAAATGGAAGCGACTCTTGAGCAAGCTTCAAGGCGTTCCATGTCTCATTCTTGGAAGATGAAACCTACAGGAGCAATATCTTGCTAAAAGAATAGGTTGAAATAAAATCTTTCATCGAACATGACTGTTATTCCGTGCATAATAAAATACTAACAGAATAGCTAATGACATTACTAGGGCATCATATCGAACTAGTATATCAAAATAGATCAAGTATCTATGAAGAAAAATAATGGTCTCAGACTCTCGAGGATTTAAGAATGTCATAAAGATTCTCAAATTCCATAAAAGCTGCTGCTTTGTTTTTCGAATTATTTTCTCAATATTTTAGATGTTATATTAACCTTACAAACTTCTCACTCAAACATTAGAAAACAATTACGACAGTAATTTTAAGGAATTCAAAATATTTCTGCAATTCTCCACGTTCAATTATCCCCTCAAAAGGCCTAACATACAGTACAAGATTTTAAATGTTGCAGCAACATTTCAGATGTGTATGTTTGGTATTTAACACAAAATAACCTTAAATACACAGCGAACACCGTTCAATTTGTATTTCTTCAATGACCAATGGGTTATTTCAGCCAAAGATATTGCAATCAACTAGGGAAAACAAGCAATACAATACTCAAACAGTCCAGTTAATTGAGCGAGCTGGAAATCTCTCCGAAGACATAAAATGTCCAATTTAACATGACAGCCACATGCAACACAAGCCCTACAAAAACCTTACCCACACTGACCGTACACAAACGCACAATCCTAATGGTTCCCACCCTAACAGAAAAATCATTCTATTCCCTTTTTACCCTTTGGGAAGTATGCATGATAGGAGGTCTCACAGTATAGAGAAACCTTACAATAATAATAATAAAACAGCTTAGAGGAAAAAAAACCATTACCTCTGTCATGTGAGCGAAGAAGTTTCCAAATCCATCATTGGATTTCTTTCCAACGGAGCCAATTTCGAAAACCTAAATTGAAAAGGTAAAAGCACAATAAGTTCAACCCTTTATCATTAACTTAAATAAA